GAACATAAAATTGGCATATGATTGTTTTAGCGGCATGCATTCTCCATTACAGCACAGCTTGGAGTTCAAGGTCCCTGCAGCCGGAACAAAGGAACCACACTCCAGAGAGGAGGAAGGGGACCCTGCAGACTCTTGCTCTCAGGAGAATCAGAAGCCTCCAGGTGCTTCACCTCCATAGCAGCTGAGAGACCAGGCGGGGCCGGGCGAGTGCACTTGAGATCCAGATTTGGGAAAGTTCCAACATCCTTGAGCCAACTGGGTGTCCAGGGAAATCCATCTTCCACACAGGTAGCACTGACTAGGGGTGCATGCTGAGCACTATGTTAGAACGAGGCTAGGCTGCCAGGAGTTCTCAGTGCAAGAGACCCTAGCATCACGGGAAGAGTAAGACATGACGGCTGTCACAATAAGGCCACTAAACTCACAGCAATGGCAACTTCAGAGAAGCTCTGACGACTACAGGGAAGCAGCTCTTTCCTCTCTGATGTCAGGTGTCCCCTCTGGGTAGGCACCTGCCCTGAGACTCACAGATACGGTCCTTTTGGGCTGTACAACATCACTGAGCTCAACAGAGCGGCGGAAGGGGCCACACATATCAAAGTCAGGGACACCACCAAGCGTGGCTGACTGCTATTGGCGACTGTCTTGGATGCCTTTCCTGGCTGGGCTGGGTGCCCTGGGTATCTGAAGTGCTAATCAGAAAAGAGGCTGGCAAAGGATTTCCTCAAGCTCCGGATGGTCTCTGCTTTGGCTTCATCCTCATTGGTCGAAGACCGGAAGAAGGAGGACTCAGAGAAGCTGAAGGCATTTGTCAGGGACTGCGACTTGCTTGAAGATAAAAACCAAAGAGAACGTGAGAGGGTGGTGCTCCCAGTGAGGCAGGGAGGGACGGCGACACGAGGCTACACACTTGGAGCCCCACTCCAACCCCCAGGGGTCAGGGTGACAGGAGAAAGCGGGAGCGGCCATGCTACTGCTCCTACGCTCCTTCCTCGCCTCGGGGGCCACTGAACAGGGAAGGATGGGAGCAGTGTGGGAACCAGAGAAAAGGGAAAGCAGAGAGACAGGAAAGAGGAAGAAGAGACGTCAAAGCCTGCTGCTTTCACTTATTTTATTTTTTATTTTTCTGCAGTGCTAAAGATGGCACCCAGGGTCTTGTACCTGCTAGGTGACTGCTCCCCGCTGAGCTGCACCCCAGCCCTGTTTCTTTTCCTTAATAACGAAGGGCTCGAGGGCCCCAAGTTGGGGTCTCACACCCTCTCCTCTGGTAACAGGCAGAGACTAGGGCCGGGTGGGCTCTTGCAATCCCATTCCCAACCACTGTCTCGAGGTGGACTCAGCACCAGGAGGCCCTTGTCACAGCCTTGGTTTTGCCCCTCAGCTGATGTCTGACCTTAAGCCTTGTGCCTCTCTGCAATCTGATTTTCACGTGTGATGTGAAGACGTTTGGTAACACGGTGCTCTCTAGACCCTTGGTCCTCTCCATTCTTCTCCCTCCTCTGATTCAAAGTTCAATGCCTCCATTGCCCTCCCTGTTCTTAGCGAGGGCGCGGTCACCCTTGCAGCCTTCCTCAGAGAGGACTTAATGTGAGGTCTGTGGGTTCAGGCTGTGCAGGAGCGAGGAGATACACATCAGGCCATGATTATTAGGCAGTTTTCTAATGAAAAAGTCAGAACCACACCCATTTTAAGGGTCTATTTTTCCCTTCAGAGACTAGTGAATGATTCAGAGAGAAAAACCGTGAAGGCAAGAGGCCACAGGGAGGCCAAACCTACACTCCAGAAGGGGACACGAGGTCTGGCTTCTCCAGCAGCCGGCTTGTCTCCTTGACTCCCACAGGGTCTTTCTGCAGGGGTCTGGCTCCAGCACTCCTCTGGTGTCTCAGGTCTGCCTGTCCTCCCCTAACGCTGGGTGCAGCCCAGGAAAGGCCCTCTACAGGACCCATAGCAGTCTCTCCTCCTGCAGTGTCTGCGAACAGATGGCTGCCTTTTGCCATGGCTGGGTAAAGCCCCAGAGTGCTGGCCTCTGGGAGGGGACTCCTCTGCATGCACCGGTGCAGGCCTCCAGCCTGTCTTCCAAACTGGCTCCGTTCAACAGCTTTGGCCCAGAGGCAGTAACAAACCAAAGATCTGCCCTCACCCGAGAAGGCAGCAGAGGCCCAAAAGTCAGCATGCAGAAAGTGACTAGTGGCAGGGAGATGACAGGCAGGCGAGGTGTAAGAGGAGCTTGGCGGGAACTGGGGAGCCGAGGAGGCAATGCTCCTCCCGCCTCTAGGACTAGAAGACCCAGACAAAGTGACCACCTGGACCCCAGAGCCCCAGCCCTGGGTCTGCCAGTCAACTATCTGAGGAATGGCTTTGGGAAAGAAAAGAATGGAATTCTCTGTGCAATGACCAGATGCTCTAAGTGACTCCTCTGAACCTAAACACCCACTGCCCCGCTCCTCTCTGTTGAAGATTCCTTCACTGTTTCACACTGGAAGCACGGTGTGTCATTCCCAGGCCTTGGCCACAGCTGTCTCTGCTGACAGGGGATACTTAACGTGGCCAGAGGCCTGTCTGGTTTCGGGGTGCAGGTGGAACTGACAACTATCTGTACCCACCCTCTGCCCTCCCCTCTCTCCCAAGGGTCCTGGCACATCCCCGCACAGGACAGTGCGGTGGGAATCAGGGGAGCCCAGAGGCTGGGAGCCTAGAGAATGCTGCTGCACAGACCTGTGTCTGAGCACCTCTTCACTGCCCATGGCACCTTCACACAGAGCTGAAGGAAAAAGCTGAAACGGAGCTAGAGATTCCCCTTCTCCGGGGAAGCCTTGCTGACTGTACACCTGACCTGTGAGTCAGGAGCAAGACAGACTCTATTATTTCATTTTTAGAAGAAGGGAGTTGCATACAACAGAGAAGAGGGAAGGAAAAAAGAGTGGGAGACGGGGTTAAAAAAAAACACACAACAGTTAAACCCTAAGCTAAGGTAAAACTAGCAAAGGCCGGACTCCTGCGGTCGTGCAGGAAGAAAGGATAGGGTGTGCACTTCTGGCCAGACCTTGACTTTCATGTCCCCTTTTCTTCCCCTCCCAGATCAGCCCCAACCATTCCCCTCACCAGAAAACCAAAAACCCAAAAGACAAACAAAGAGCAACCCACAGAAATCCACCACAAGTATCTGGAGGAGGGGGGCCGCCTGCCTGACGGAGCTTTCTAGCAGCTTGGGCCAGGCAGAGGAGAAGGAAAGGGTGGGGAGGCCCTGCCGAAAGTCTCTTACTTGAGCTGAGGGTGAGGCTGGGGCTTCTGCGGAGGTGTGGCCTGGGGCGGCTGGGCCTCTGCCAGTGAGCTGCTGCTGGAGGATGCATCTTCGTGGGTGGCGGTGGGGCCGCCCAGCCGCTGAGAAGCCGAGAAGGAGGAAGAGGAGGAGGAAGAGGAAGGTGGCAGTGATGGTCCAGGGGGGAGCCGGCGTGGAGGCAACACCTTGCCTGGGGGCTGCATTCCTTGGGGTTGCCCAGGGCCCCCTAGGTTCAGTACAAGAGAAACTTCATAATTTAACCATATCAAAGGTGTCCTTAGAATCCACCCTCAAAGGGTGTGGTTAGTTAATTACTAAAAGGATAAGCTCTGTTACAAGAAGCCACCCAAGGCTCTGAGGGCCTCCCCCTGCCCTTTCTTAGGTATCACCGCCAAGACAAAGCAACTGAGTCACCGCTGAGGACTGGATGGAGAGGATCCCACCCTTTCCCCAGGGGCTCCTTGGGTACAAGCCATCCTGCTCTGGGGTTGACCAAGACGCAGGAGAGGGCAGTGGGAAGAACACTGATGGCAATCAAACAATCCAAGACACGGTCTGCCGGTGACTCCCTGAACAAGTCACCAAGCTTCTCTAAGCTACGGTGTTTGCAACCATAAAACTGTCAAGGAAATAAGCCCTAGTCTTAGTTATCATTTAAGAGAGTAGTGTTTCCAAGCTGATAATGCACGAGAAAGTTCTTGAAAAGCATCCTGTGCTTTCTGATCGTCCACGATGACCCCTGACTTACACTGTCTCTTTGGAGGGCCCCTTCACCAGCTGTGTGCCCGCAGTGTCTGAGCACCATCCACCCACCCCGCCTCAGTGTCACTGTAGCCTTAGCTCCCATGACAGGACCAACCCTTCCTCTCCGGGCATTCCTTCGTCTCTCAGGGACATTCTCAGGGGCTCCGGCATGATGTACGTGTCAGTCAGGTGCGTGGTGAAACGCTCCAGATAGCCAAACCCCATTCTCCCCCAGGGACACTGTGTGGGCACCACCTGGCCAAGAGCCTGCCTAAGAACTGGTATCCTGCTCTCCCAGCAAGAGACGCAAAACCATCTGATAGCCAGAAGACAGAAAAGCCCTCCTCCCTCTGGGGGTTGACAAGCCATACATGAGGTACCAATCTCCTCAGACCTTACTGAGCCATGAGGTCTCCGCAAGCAGAAGTCAAAAGACGACCCGGGAGCATACCGACTGCTAGAAATGATACAAGAGCAGGCCTCCAGGGCCTAGTTTCTCAGCCTCAGTCCGACTCCACATCTAGGGGCTTGCTGGATGGAGCACACTCACAGAAATTCAGCAGGGGTTTGGGGTATTCTGGACTGCCACAGCTGTCCCCTCAAGAGAGGCACCACTATATGTCTATGCTACCAGGCATCCATGATTAGCAGCTCATTCCCCACCCTTTACCATCAATAACCAATTAATTAATCCCAGGGTTAGTTACACAACAATCAAGGAATACACAAATCCAAGGAATTCTGTATGTATAAGAAGTTTCGAGTTCAAATCAAACAACCGGCGAAGATGACAGATTAGCAGATTATTTCATGTTAGCTTTTGTCTTTCCCCAAGTTTGATATCATTGGGATTATTGGTGTTTTCTTATAAAGGAATTGGGTTGATAGCTCAGGATCTTGCACCAGAAACCTGCACGCTTTCCCCCTTGTACAGAGATACTTAAGTAGCCAGAAACTGTACAACTTAACACTGAAGACAGATATAACTTTTCCTTTATTGCACATTAAGCTGTACAAGAGTCACAAAAGAGAGGTACTTCGATCACACTTCCAGCAGTAGCTGAGGGTCTCCCAGCTGGATAAGTACAAAAAAAAGGGGGTGAGGGGACAACATCAGAAAAGAATTGGGTACAAAACACCTGAATGGCAATCCTACACTGTGACATATGTCCCCCAGGCCACAGAGTTGTCCCTTAGCATGCTGCCTGAGGGCACGTGACAGTCAGGTGACGCTGTCTGCTCGCTTTTGGCAGTGGGAGTCCTAATCGGCTTCGTTCCCACCTGAAAGGCCTTGGCTGACACCATCCTGAGCCTGACTGCATTGTATTTGTGGCTCACCAATGTCACGTGAAAAGCACCTGGATGAACACACTGATAACATGCAGGGAAGCAACACCACTCGTTATCAGCTCACCACTTAACAAGAAATTTAAAACAAAAAGGAAAAGTATTCCTCCACTCTGAGACTTCATTCCCTCCTACCATTCATCTGACTGGGAGGTACTAAGGACCTGGGAGTACATATGTCCATACACCAAAGTCCTTAGAGCAGAATGACTGCCCTCGCCCCCTAGGGGCCAGGTCACAGGCCAGGACTCACACACTATGCATTTCTCCACGGCCTCACCATGTGACAGCAACCCAAGGAGGAAGCAGGGCACATTCCCCTGGGCACGTCACTCATGCTACATGCTACCAACACTGCGTGCACCATAGCTCTGCCGCTCCGGAGTGAGGCCGTGCCAGTACGGAGGGGAGGGAATGTAGAACGACAGCCAGAAGCATTTCCTCTAAAGGCAAACCACTGGCACGAACCCCACAGGCCACGGTGCTAGAGAAGGCCACCTGGTACCTGTCCCCGGCCCTGCCCGGAGATGGCAAGATGAGGCACTGCCCCTAAACCCTGGTTTAGTACCTGCCCACGTGCTGCCTGCTGGCAGAGAAAGAACAGGCTGGTGAGGGTTCCTCAGGCTCAAGGCCTCCGTCCAAAACACACACAGACGCTACATCTGATATGGCCCTTCCCAGAGAGCCCTTCACCCTGGGGCCTCTGCTAAAAGGCAGCAGCTAAGAGAGAACCCTTGGGGTTCAGCAGGCAGCACACCCACTCGGGTGCCATGGGCATTTCCGGTTTACTCTCACGGTATGAGGCCTCAGGAACGCTCAGATACTCCCAGACTTCCAGCAGCTCCCTGCATTCTAGGCTCAAGATTGTTAAAGCATCATCTCTGTGCACAGGCCAAGCTCTGGGGCACACGGAGCAGCCCCAGTTTCGCAGTGGCACACATACGGCCGGTTCCAAAACAGCAACCAGGAAGGAACAACTTCGGGGAACTGAGATCAACACACAGAAAAATACTCACAAGTTCATCTGGATATCACACGCTGGCAGCCCCATTGCTTTTGTTGTTGTTGTTGTTGCTTGTTTAATCTCACAGCTAATTAGTTAATAAGGAAAACAAAGGGTGCACTGGGACGTGAAATACAGAACACATTCCTGGAAGTAGTTTGTTCTTTGTATTTCATCACTAAAAGCACAAGAGCTGTACAGGCACAGCCAGCCTATTCACATAAACTCAAACTCACCAAATTTTAGCAAGTGGAGAAAAGGTGGATGCCTTCAAATCCAATGGATGAAGCAATGGAAATTAGACCTTGAAAATCTCTTAGAGTTCTATCTATTTACCAGAGTCATGCAGAAAGGAAGCAAAGCACAGTTCACTGAAGGTCCCAAGCACACTCACAGAGTTGGGGTTAATCTGAGCCCCGGGAGGAGGAGGGGAGCTGGGTCTTATTTTCTGGTTTTCCTTTCTCCCCTGTCCATCCCCATGCTCCCAGCTTACCCCACGTTATGTAATGCTTTAAAAAACACTATCAAACCACCCAGAAGACAGAGTCGCATTGGACTGGGAGAAGCACAATTCTTTTGTACACTGTTGACACACAGCCCCGGAATCACAGGTTACACAGAGGAACAAGAGTGCGCATTACAAGCACGGACAGGAACAGGTGAAGAACCTCACGGGCTGACACTGCATAGGAAACACAGTCCGGGCAGCAGTGGGGGTGCCGTGCTGGCCGCAGGGCCGCTGCTCCCTCCCACTCTCCTTCCTTTCCTTGATTTTTGTTTTTGGCTTAAAATTTCTGCTTTGAAACATGAACTAGCGATCATTTAGGAAGCCTGGACCTGCTTTGGCCCTACTGCAATGCCATTACAGTCGAGAATGTACTGTAAACAACCTTGGGGGGGCGGCCGCTGAGGTGGGGTCTTGCTTGAGTCTGGGTCCTTGAGTGTTCCACTCTGGAAGACAAAAATGAAAGAGATAAAAACAAAACTCTGAGTGAGTTCCAAAGAGAAACCCTGTGGCTCCATGGCTGGGCTGCAGTGGAATCGGTGTGGTCTGTCACGCACTTGTGCACTTCCACCAGCGTCAGGCTGCAGCCGGGCAAGATGGGTCCCTGACACCCCGACATGCAGCCCTGAGACCCTTCAAGCCCCTTCCTCATTCACTCTCTCGCGCTTGCGTTTTTTTTAGATGCTTAGAGTCCTCCAACCTCACCCAGTTTCTTCTTGGGAACCTGCCTAATGTCTAGGTCCTGCAAGCATTTACACTCTTGGCTTGCTAAAGGAAAGGGGATTCCGCACCAGCTCCAGAGACGGGACTGGGTGCAGGGAAGCAGTGGCTGGACCTGGTGACCAAGCTCCTTTCTCACCTGGAGTGAGCAGAGTGGGGTCAGTTTGGGCTGGGACCCCCATGGGGAGGGACTGGAGAGAGGACACCCACATGTTTTCCAGAACCCTTTTCACCCAGAAGGAAGGAGTGAGACATCAATGTCTGTAGAGCGTTCAAGGCCACTCTGTTTTCCCTCTCAAAAAGCATCACTACATTTGCCCAACAACAGGGCTCCAGTCCCCTGCTGCTTCCTCTCCTCTCAGAATCACATCTGAGATTCTGATTCTTTCTGGACAGGATCAAAGTTGCACATGACTTGGTTTGTCCTCCATCCATGTTGAAAGCAGGGAGCACTTGGAGCTTGCCTGCAGCCCGGCGAAACAGCCTACGCAGCCTAAAGCCTGCAGATCGATGGAGATGTCACCAAGGGGCTTCCGAGGTGGGCTGTGGAGCGGGCCCTGCTTCCTCACCTAGTGCCCTCTCCCTGCGACAGCCTCCCACACTCCCACTGAACACTGTGCTTCCTCCTACCCTCATTTTCCCTGGGCTTTGATTCTGGCCATCATCTTCCTCCTGGCCATAACTACCAAAAGTAGAGGTATTACTCTTTGCAATTTCACTGTCCTCTGACAACAGCCTTATTCCAAACTGCTCAAGAATTGCATGGGGTGGGGGACAGGGATTTAGCTCAGTGGTTCCATCGCCTGCCTGGTAAGCACAAGGTTCCCAGTTCAATCCCTGGTACAAAAAAAAAAA